TGATCTGGGAGAACCGGGTTTGATTCCCCACTCCTCCACTTGCACCTGGCTGGATGACCTTGGGTCAGTCACAAGCTCTCTCAGAGCTGTCCTTGAAAAAGAGCAGTTTGTGTCAGAGTTCTCTCAGCCCCACCCACCTCACAGGGTGTCTGTTGTGGGGAGGGGAAGGGAAAGGAGTTTGTAAGCCGCTCTGAGACTCCAAGTGAAGGGCGGGGTATAAATCCAATCTCTTCTTCTTCTTCTTCTTTCCCTGAAAACCCTACAGTGTCGTCATCATAAGTCAGCTGTGACTTGACAGCAAAAACAAGAACAAATACCTTCGGAGGGGCGTAGGGCCGGGGGGGAAATATAAGCTGACTTGTACGAGACAGAAAACAGCTCTCTTTTCTTCCAGGTAAGTGGTACCCAAGGCAGATGACAACAGTAAAATCCACACAAGGGAACATGATCCTAAAAATGACAGAAGTAAAACTTTCATGGAAAAACCTTTTTAAAAAACCTGTCACTTGGAGATGGATACCCACAGAACAGATCTCTAGAGGAGTCAAAGAGAGAAATTGTAAGCATATCTAAAAGGTAAAGGTTTCCCTTGCTCAAAAGCTAGTCGAATCAGACTCCAGGGGGCAGTGCTCATCATTTCCAAGCCGAAGAGCCAGCGCTGTCCGAAGACTTCTCCATGGTCATGTGGCCGGCATGACTAAACGCCAATGCCCACGGAACGCTGTTACCGTCCCACCGAAGCAGTACCTATTTATCTACTTGCAATTTCTTGCTTTCGAACTGCTAGGTTGGCATGAGCGGGGACCAGAGACGGGAGCTCACTTCGTCATGCAGCACTCGGGTCTCGAACTGCCAAACTACCGACCTTCCAGCCTGCAGTTCAGTGTCTTAATCACTGAGCCACTGCAGTCTGCTCAGGTCTTACTCCCAGGAAAAGGTTCTTAGGATCACATCAAAGTTGCTCTTTAGAAGAGCTCTGTTTCACGGGCTCGTTGAAATGGCAAAAGAGCTGTGGTGCTGGAAAGTTCCGTCAAGTTGCTTCCGACTTACGGTGACTCTGTGAATTCATGACCTCCGAAATGTGCTATGGCTTAGCGGCCTCGCTCAGGTCTTGAAAACAGATGGCCGTGGCTTCCTTGATGGAGTCAAATCCATCTCCTGTTGGGTCTTCCTTTTAGCTTCTAGGGAGAGTTCAGGCTCGATCTGATCTGGAACCCAGCTATTTGTCTTTTTGGTGGTCTACACAGTATCCGCAAAACTCTCCCCCGACACCACATTGCAAAGTCATCCAAGTTCTTGCACTCCGCTTTCTTCATTGTCCGACTTTCACACTGATACGTAGTGATGGGGTATACTGAGATACGAATTATTGCGATCTTGGTCACCAGCAACACATCCTAAAACATAAGGATTTTTTTCTAACTCCCTCATGGCTGCCCTTCCCAGGCTCAGTCTCCTTTGGATTTTATGCAGGAGTGCCCAAACTTGCTTAACAGAAGAGCCACATAGAATAAATGTCAGGTGTCTGAGAGCTGCATGACGTGAACAAATATTGCATGTATGTTTTTTATTGAAAAATATGCAGATTTGCTTTTTTATTAACATTAAATGAGACTGCCAAAAATAAAAACAAAACGGATAAAAATATTGATAATCATCAGGGGTCATTTCCTGCAGGAGCGCACAGGTGTGGAGCTCCGGCAGTAAAGAGCCCAGGGGGCGGGCACATGCAACAAGCCCCACCCCCTGCTCCCAGCAGCCCTCAGTCAGAGCAAGAAGCAGCCAGGGGAGCTGCAGTGGCACCCCCCCCCCAGGTCCCCAGGTCCAAAATAGTCCAGTGGCACCTTTAAGGCCAAGTTTTATTCAGGTACAAGCTCTCCCTCTTCTGTGAGGACAGATCTGCTCGTTCCCCCTCCCTCCCATAGCTAGCCATCCAAAACAGTCCAGTGGAGCCTGAGTGGTGGGTGTTGCCTTCCGACACACTTCCGGTGATGTCAGGGGGTGTGGCATATGCAAATAAGTTACACAAATGAGTTATGCTAATGAGCTCCTGCACCTCTTTTTCTACGAAATGACCCCTGTTGATAATGATGTTTATTTGTTCAATGATATTTGTAGGCTGGGGAGAACCGCCTGGGGAAGGGAAGACCGATTCGGGGGAGGGGACATGCCTCCACTCCACTTCACTTCCCCAGCTGCCCTGCCAGGAGCCGCACAATATGTGTGAAAGAGCCGCGTGTGGTTCCCGAGCCACAGTTTGGCCACCCCTGATTTCATGTTTGCATCACCCCCTACCTGGTCCTTTTAACTGGCGATGCCGGGGATTGAACCTAGGACCTTCTGCATGCCAAGCAGAGGCTCTTCCACTGAGCCACAGCCCCTCCCCGACATGCACCCCCCCCACAGCACTACATGCAGGCATTTCATACATTTATATAATTGATTTTTATATAATATATATAATGATTTTAGTATAATTGATATAATTAATCTCCCCCTGTGCTTTTGACGTGTAGTGTTACCGAGCGGCAGATGATATTCTATAACCATTTTGCATACGATGCAGAAGCAAATCCGAGTGTCCCCCCCCAAGTCCCCTTGTTTTTCTTCGTCCTTCCTTATCCCCCTGTGAGAGAGCGGCTGCCAACTTCCTGGTCCCCACCCAAAGCCTGAGAAGTGGCTTCATTTGCCTGACCTGCAGAAACCAGCTTTTCAGTGCACAAAAGCTACAACTAAAGGAGCCAGTCGAAAAGTTGGCAACCCATGTCTCCTGTTGCAAGCCTTGCAGGCTCTGGTCCGGTGCTTGTGCAGCTGGGGGGGGGCAGGCAGTTGCTCCAGATGAGCCCATAACTGAATCTGGGAAGGAAGCTGCACAGGAGCATAAGCTAGATAAAAAGTTGGCAACCCATATTCAGTCTCAATCATTTCAGGCTCTGTGGTGCTTTTGTAGCCAGGGGGAGCTGGCAGTTGCTTCAGAGGAACGCTAATCAAATCCACAAAGGAAGCTGTATTTGAGTGTATAGGAGCAGGAGCTAGATAAAAAGTTGGCAACCCAAGTCCACTGTTGCAGCCGTTGCAGGTTCTGGGTCTAGTGCTTTTACAGCCAGGGCAAACTGGCAGTTTCTCAGACAAACCCATTAGTGAATCTGAAAAGGAAGTTGCACTGGAGCACAAACTAGATAAAAAGTTGGCAACTCATCTTCAGTCTCAATCATTTCAGGCTCTAAGTCTGGTGCTTTTACAGCATAGGCGAGCCTGGCAGCTGCTCCAGACTAGTCCATTTCTGTATCTGAAAAGGAAGCTGCACAGGAGTAGGCACTAGAGAAAAAGTTGGCCACCCAAGTCTCCAGTCCCAGCCATTGCAGGCTCTAGATCTAGTGCTGTCATAGCCAGGGAGAGCTGGCAGCTGCTTCAGACTAATTATTATTGAATCTACAAAGGAAGCTGCACAGGCACAGGAGGTAGATAAAAAGTTGGCAACCCAAGTCTCCCGTGGCAACCACTCTGAGCTCTGGGTCTGGTGCTCCTAAAGCTGGGGCAAGCCTGGAAGCTGCTCCAGTCTAGCCCATTTCGGCATCTGCAAAGGAATTTGCACAAGAGCAGGAGCTAGATAAAAAGTTGGCAACCCGTCTCCAGTCTCAACCATTCCAGGCTCTGGGTCTGCTGCTCCTATAGCCAGGGCAAGCCCGGCAGCTGCTCCAGACTAACCCGTTACTGTATCTGCAAAGGAATTTGCAAAAAAGCAGGAGCTAGAGAAAAAGCTGGCAACCTCAGTCTCCAGTCCCAGCAGTTGCAGGTTCTGGGTCCGGTGCTCCTATAGCCGGGGGGCGAACCTGGCAGCTGTTCCAGACTCACCCGTTACTGCATTTGCAAAGGACGTTGCAGAGGAGCAGAAGCTAGAGAAAAAACTGGCAATCTCCAGTCCCAGCGGTTGCAGGTTCTGGGTCCGGTGCTCCTATAGCCGGGGGCGAACCTGGCAGCTGTTCCAGACTAACCCGTTACTGCATCTGCAAAGGGAGTTGCAGAGGAGCGGGAGCTAGATAAAAAGTTGGCAACCCCCGTCTCCAGTCCCAACGGCTGCAGGCTCTGGGTCTGGTGCTCCTACAGCCTGGCTAACCCTACCTGAGCCGCCCCTCGGAGAGGAAGGAAGCGACGCCGGCGACCCAGCCTCCCCGTTCCTCTCCCTCCCCGTTCCTTCCCGGCGGGTTTCGCCTGGAAGTGTCCCTCGGCGCCCTCCCCTCCCCTCCCCTCCCCGCCGGGAGCTCCCGCCCAGCCCAGCCCAGCCCGGGGTGGGAGGCGGGGAGAGGCGTCGGCATCCGCAGCAGGAGCAGCTTTGCCCTCACTTTGCTGACACCAGCGCTTCCGAGCGCCACGCCGTCCTTGAGCGGGCCGGATCCGTCGCCCACGAGAAGCCCGGGTGGGGGGAGACGCGGCCGGCGGTGGAGGCGGCGGCAGCAGCAGCAGCAGCAGCAGCAGCAACCGCGGCGAGACAGAGCCGGAGAGGAGCGCCGTCCCCGCAGCCGCTCCTTTGGACGGAGAGAAAAGTCAGCCCGGCGGGAGTGGATGCTCTGATCTGTCGTGATCTGCTATGGAGAAGCCGGACCGGGCAGGGAAGAGGAAAGGGGGGAGGAGGAGGAGGGAGGGGGAGGGCCGGCTAATGACCCCCACCTCCCAGCGCTCGAGAGGACTCTCGGGGGGCTGCTGAGAAAGCCCAGCATGAAGCGCAGGCGGGGGGGGGCACACCGGCGGGTTAAGCTGGCACTGCCAAGCCGGGCTCTGCGTTCAAACGAGAGAATCCAGCCTTTCCTCGGAAACTGCCAGCCGGGCGACTTTTCACTTGGCGCATGGAGACCCCAGCCTGATCTCTGAAGCCGGCCCCTGACATGCACCCAGGAGACTTCGAGCCGGTGGGCTCCTCGTCCGCCACCCCCTGGCCCCGGGAGACGACTTCCCAGGGGACGGAGCCGGCCCCGGGACTCCCCGCCGCCTCCCAGTCCAGGATGGAGAACTTCAGGAAGGTGAAGACCTCCGAGGAGGAGAGCCCCTTGCCCTTCTCCGACTTGCCCGCCGACGTGGTGGAGATGAAGGTGAAGGAAGGCAGCAAGATCCGGAACCTCATGGGCTTCGCCATGGCCCGGATGGGGCAGGAGGCCACTCGGCGCATCGTCTTCAGCGGCTGCGGCCGGGCGGTCACCAAAACGGTCACCTGCGTGGAGATCATGAAGAGGAAGCTGGGTGGGCTATACCAGGTCACCAAGGTGCAGTACAAGACCGTCCGGGAAGTCTGGGAGAGCCGGGACCCCCAGCCCGAGGGGGCCCCCGCCGAACATCTCACCGTCCACAAGAACGTGCCCTCCATCTGCATCCTCCTCTCCAAGGACCCGCTGGACCCCAACCAGATGGGCTACCAACCCCCGGATCCCCTGGGGGGACTGTGGACAGAGGAGGAGATGCGTGAGGAGAGGTCTGGCTCTTCCCCGAAGGGGGTCAAGAGAAGGTTGGCATCGCCCCCCCACGAAGAAGGAGAGGAGCAGACTGCTAAGAAGCCACCTTTACAGGTACAGGATCTTCAGGAGGACCTGGGGACCGTGGCGGGTTGTTGACGTGGACGTACAGCCGGGAGGAAGCAAATCCAAGCCATAGGTCGCTCACGCGGCGGGGACAATCCTATCTGTACCAAATCCGTGGCCTCCAGACTTTGTAGCGGCTTGCTAATGAATAAAGGGGCAACGGAGCCAGACCCTTCTGTGTTAATGGTCTTGGGCGATGTGCAAAGAGAAAGAAAACTTAGCTGCGGGGGGGGGGAGAATTCTTCCTTTTCTAGCCAGTCCACTGGCTGGTTGTTAGGAGTCTGCTTCCTGCATCAAATGAGTGAGGGGAGGCCCATTTAGACAGGCCGTGATGCTGTATAAGGAGAGAGAGACAGAGAGACAGTTCGATCTGCACCTGGTCACACCAAGGAGGGTTCTGTTTTGTTTCTATGTGGCGTGGGATGTGGCTGTCAAAGGGCCAGGGGGGTAGCGCAGTGCCACACGGTGAACCGTTCCAGCAAGACAGGGTTATGCCTTCTGTCGAAGGCGACATTTGTGCTTGTTAACGGATTGCTCGAGGGCCACTGACGCTTGAAGGCGAGCAAGAGCTCAGATCCCTGCCTTGAGGAACATACAATCTTAAAAAAATAACAGTCGAGGCAAAGGACACTGCAAAGTGAGGGTGGGGGATGCATAATTGGCTTGGGGGACTGCCATAGGTGAGAGAGTTCTTGACAAGGAGATGTGACCGATTAATGGCAGGGAGGTCCGTCCGTCATTTTGAGCCGCGGTGGATCAATAGCCAGATTGGAGTTCAGTAGCACCCTAGAGACCAACAAGAACTGGAGGGAGATAAGTTTTTGAGAGCCAATGTTCCCTCTATCAGTTAACGAAAGATCCCTGATACTATCTTGGTGGGTCGATAGAACCTCTGCGGTCAGAGGCAGTGTATCTGTGAAAGCAGCTACGGGGGGTGGCGACGCCAGGGAGACGCTTCGGCCTCTGCGTCCCCTGATTGTGGGTTCAGCTGGGGCACTTTGGGAAACACGATGCTGGTTCTAGATAGACCATCGGCCTGATCCTGCATAGCTGGCGCAGGCAGGGACGAACTGGGGCTGAATATGTGTTTGGCTGAGGAAGACCCAGAAAACTGTCTGGCTTTGTCAAGGACAGCTCGTGTGGACATTTCATGTTTAATTATTTCACAATTGCGCCTAGCCGAGCACACGAGAGCCTTAGATGCACACTAGGGCTGAGCTACATAAGGCAACAATGTTCAGTGTGTGTCTCGGTCCGGCTCACTGTTAGCACATCATGTGTTCAAAGTGGGGGTGTCCCCCCCCCCAGTGAACTGCATCAGTTACCTTCTGTGTTGAGACAGCTCAGAGGGAGGAATGACAGACGTTAATAAAATGATGCATGGGAGAGAGGAAGAGGAGAGAGATATTTCGTGTCTCCTCCTGTGATATTATTTATATGTTTGTTTAGTTGAAATATGTGTATCCTGCCTCTCCCAATTCAGGATCAGGTGGTTCCCAATCAAATACGGAAAGCCGTCAATAAATAAAAGAATGGCTGGAAATAAAGGGGAGAGAGAGAGGGATGGAGGGAGGGAGGGAGGGAGGGAGGGAGGGAGAGA